AGGAGGACTTGCAGGAGCTGTTGGCAATCGTCCCACGTGGGTTTTGGTGGGTAAGGAGAATAGATTCTATCAGAGCCGTTAGGGCCCTCGGGTCTTGGGAAAAGGACGGGTTATGAGTTTTCCAGTTGTACAAGTCTGAAGCAGAAAAGGGCCAATACTGAAACTGGTTTCCTTCCCCTCCTACGAGTCGGAGGGGCAGGACGTGTGTGGAATCTCCCTGTCCTCTTCTCTCTCTGAGTCGCCCCGCAATGGGGGAGGGAATGACCTCCGGTCCTTCTGCTGGGGCTTCATCTGGAACAGCCGCAGCAGCCTGCGGGGGAGGGTGGTAGGGAGGGGGATTCTCACTCAGCAGATCAGCGGGAACACTCTCATCAGGGGGAAGAACAGGCTTTTGTTTTACCACAACAGGACACAAAGAGGTGGTCGAAGGGTCCGGATTAGGGGCAGAAGGGAGGGGGACTCTTCGTGTAGGACTGAGAAAAGGAGTCACCCACGGTGGTGGGTCAAGGGAGAGATTTTCCCAAGTGACTATATAGGCCACTTGGTCCGGATGTCCCGTTAGTCCAGGGGAGAAGATCTTAGCTTTAACCTGAAAAATAACATCAGAGTCAAAACTCCCATCTCGAGGCCAGCCAAAATTAAACGTTGGCCACTCGGAGGAACAAAAGGTTATCCATTGGTGCTTCTTGATCTCCACAGATTGATTGTGAGCTCGGCTCTTAACTTCTCTCCAGTGATCTAGAGTTAAACTCAGGGGGGTGGTTAGGTGTTGTCCCATTTTGGGGTAATCTAAAATCACAATGAAACAGACAAACAACAGAAACAACAAAAATAGACAGCCGGCGACAAGGTACCGCTTAGGGCGACTCCGGGGAAGAACTGAAAAAACAAAATCAGATGGCGAGGTTGTCACTTCGCTCAGGTTCACGTATCCTTCAGATACATGCTGAGCCCCAAAATATCGTGCTCCCCAGACCATGGGGGCTGGTCGCAACCAACACAAATACACAGCAACACAGAAACACTGACACTGACTCAGGTGTGCAGCTCGGAATAACAGATGACAAGGAAGTTCCTTGTCCAGACGAGATCCACAGAAATCCTACAGATGAACAAAAAGTTCTACAGACGTGGGTCTCACAGTCCTGGAGCGTCCCCCAGGCTGGCAGGCAAAGCTTAAAGACTCGTCAGTCTTGCTTTTGCACTGCCCAGAAATACAGATGGGATCCCCAGATTCTACAGATGCTGCACTATCAACAAAACCAGACAATACAACACAGAGGCTGGCCAACTCACCTCCCCGCAAGGCTCGAATTGTCCTGTGGCTCCCTCTGACCGACAAATCTCGGTGGGACCTCCAAATGTAAGAGTGAAACCACAGAGGACAAGCCAGCCTTCGGGTTGCAACAGCAAGAGGTTTATTTAGTACACAGGTACCTGTGGGCACAAAGTCTCCTCGGGGGACTTGCGCGCCTCAGGTCGGGTTTGGGGAGCTTTTATAGGGCAGAAGCAGGGTACAGAAGCAGAAACGCGGTTATTGGTTTATTTAAACTATTACAAAATGCTACAGGGAGAGCGGGAAGCTGACTTATCACTAAGCCAGATGTTTCCACCATAAAACCTCACTTATCAGTGAGGTGGAGATGTTCCCACCATAAAACTTACTTATCAGGGGGCCAGATGTCCCAGCCATAAAACTTACTTATCAGGAGGCCAGATGTCCCAGCCATAAAACTTACTTATCAGGAGGCCAGATGTCCCAGCCATAAAACTTACTTATCAGGAGGCCAGATGTCCCAGCCATAAAACTTACTTATCAGGAGGCCAGATGTCCCAGCCATAAAACTTACTTATCAGGAGGCCAGATGTCCCAGCCATAAAACTTACTTATCAGGAGGCCAGATGTCCCAGCCATAAAACTTACTTATCAGGAGGCCAGATGTCCCAGCCATAAAACTTACTTATCAGGAGGCCAGATGTCCCAGCCATAAAACTTACTTATCAGGAGGCCAGATGTCTCAGCCATAAAACTTACTTATCAGGGAGTTGGAATTCCTGACCGGTACGCGACCTGCCTGAGAGACTTCATGGCTCCTGACTTTTATAATTTTTAATTTTTTTTCAAAAGGAAGTGAAATAAATGTCCCATTTATAACTGAACATTCAACAGTCACTTAATCTCAGCACTTTGATCAGTTTTGAATCTCTGCCCACTGCAGAAGAAGCTTCTCTGACCAAAGCTGACAGCATCACTAATCTGTAGACATTAAACATAATTATTTAGAAGGCAGGTTGACAGGCACATGTCCATTTAGCTAAACAACAGCACTAGCTTCCCTAATAGGGCCCATGACCTCCCCAGCCATGAGCTTTTGACTAGTTTTACAGTACTGTATGAATTCCCTCCTAGGTAACAGGTCTCAATTCCAGTCAGAAAGTATTCCACTATTGCATAGTGGGCTTATCTTACTAGACCAGCCGGTAAGTGTAGCAGGCAGAGTCCACAGCCGAGTAAGGTGTGGACAGTTTTCCCTCAGCAGCCTCCACAGCCCCTTCTGGCACTATGATGGCTTAGCCAACGTTGACGAAGCTTCCTTCTCAATTCCATCTTGAATTCTCTGTGTCCTGCAATCAGAGCATGTGGTGTCTTCAGTAGGGTTTCACCGTCTAGTTCTGGTCAGCAGCCAATATCAGTGACACTTCCCTGCATTATTTTGGGGACCTCTAGGGCCTCCCTGACCAGTAGCTTCCAGGGCGATAGCCCGCCCCTTAGCCCTGGGATTTTCATTCAACCTTTGGCTTCCGGAAGCAGCTTTGCTTACCTGCATAGGATACCACTATTTAAATCGTCTATAATTTGTGTGGGTATGGGTGCAAGGAGGCCAGGAGATTGTGTTAGCAAATCCTCCCGTATCACTCCATCTTACCCTTTTGAGGCAGGGTCTCACTGAACCTGGAGCTTGCATTTTCAGATAGAGGGCATGCTTAATTTTGGTTGACCTTCCCCCACCTTTCCCACATCTCTTTACGTGTGAGAATTGGCTTCCTTTAGCAGTTGTCAGTGTCGGGTGACAGCTATCTATTTTGGTTGTAAGAGGACTGCAAGTATTTAGGGGCAGCTTTTTCTTTCTAGGGCTCTAAGTGTATCTTGAACAATTTTGTAATATCCTGGGAAGTATATTGGAGGTTCTCTAAAAGAACAGCTGATAGGGATCTAGATATATTTATCTATATATAGAGATTTGGTCTGGGTAGTCCAACAGTGGTTATCTCACATTGGAGAGGATGAGAATCTAGTAGTTGTTCATTTCATGAGGCCAGATGTCTTTTTATTCCCAATGTGGCACTGAAGGCCTGATTTTAATAATTTGATCAAGAAAGTTGATCACAGGAATACCCAGAGGCTTAGGTTTTAGTAGATTGCAGATCTAGTCAAGTTGACAACCAAGATTAACCATCACCACCAGTAGGTTGGAACCTCTGAAGATTATATGGAAGTGAAAATTCCTATCTTGAATTCTTTTCCTTTGTCATCCTGTGGGATTAATGAGTCCACCTTAGTCCGTGAAATAGCATCTATATTTGGAAAGTAGTAACAAACACACCAAGTACACACCAAGTACTTTCTAGTCATTATAGGCTGCTGTCGACTGAAGATGAAAAATAATTCAGTTTTTATTATGAAGAAATCCCAAAATAGCACAGCACTGAGTTCAGAGATGCTAGTTCATTTATTGAGTGAACATGTCAGAGTACTGGAATTAGTTTCTAGACAGGAACTTGAGAAATAAAGATTAGAAGTCAACATTGAGGTCTTTCTTTAGCCTTTCCTGAAAATGTCTATGAATAGAGCTATCTGAATGTATTAACCTTTTAATGAGAAAAAAGTAGAGGACAGACTTGCCCATCCTGTAGGAGGTCTCAGAAAATTACAGATCGCAAATAATAATGCTGTGTATTGGTTGAGTGAAGGTGTTTCTTTTTAAATACTCTTTCTTAAATTTATGTTATGTGTATGAATGTTTGCCTGCATGTATGTAAGTGCATCCACGTGTATAGTGCGCATGGTGGCCAGAAGAGAGGGAGCCAGATCCCCTAGAACTGGATTTACTGGTGGTTGTTAGCTGCCATGTGGGTGCTGGGAACTGAATCCGGATCCTCTGCAAAGAACAGCCAGTGCGCTAAATCTCTGAACCACCTCTCCAGCCCCAGGGCACCTCTTTGTTACATGTGTGTGCATGTGTGGGTGCAGGTGATGGAGGCCGATCTCACATCCACCTGTTTTTCTCAAAACAGGCTTTCTCACTGGCCTAGAGCTTGTCAAATAGGCTAGACCTGCTGGCCAGTGAGCCTCAGGGATTCACCATGGTGCTTGGCCTTTTTATTGGGTTCCACTGATCAAATTCTGGTCCTGGTACTACCAACCCTAGCCCAGAAAAGAGCTTCTTATTCAGTAGTTACTTGCTAAATACTGAGAAGATAAACATCTACTTGAGACTGATGAACTTAAATGAGGTACCTTGATATAAAGCCAATTCAAGGCATTATGAAACTCATGAGCATTTTATGGCTTAAATAAAATATGAGAAAAGATCTGTTTTTATAAAACAAATATGTAGATTGCATTTCTGTTTTCTTTTAAAGGAACTATAGTGACACTGAGACGGAAGGAGAGATTTTTAATTCTTTGGTGCAATATCTTGGTGATAATTTGGGGCGAAAAGTTAAAGCAATGCCATTAGTTGAAGAAACTTCTTTACTTGAAGATTCCTCAGTGACGTTACCTGTGGTAATAATAGGTAAGTTGTTACACGTTATTTCTTTTCATAGGTTTGTTGTTTCTTTTTTGTCTTGTTTTTTTGAGACTAGGTCTCATTATGTAGCCTCCACTGGCCTGAAACTTACTATATAGACTAGGTTGGCCTCTCTTTCACAGAGATCTGTGTCCCTAATGTTGGGATTAAAGGTGTGTACCACCACACCTAGCTAGGGATTTTTTTTTTTTAAATAGATGTTCCTTACCTTATTGAGGAAATTTTCCTCTATTCCAAACTTTTTTTTTCCTAAGTCCTGAGTGAATATGTGGGTATGTTGGATTTTGTCAATATTTTTTTTCATTTGTGGATATTACCGTTATGAGTTTTCTTTTGTCTCTTATTTATTTATTTTTTTTTACATTTATAATGTGTGCGTCCCCTCATGCATGTTATGGCACACATGTGGAGGTCAGGGGACAGTTCATAGGAGTTGGTTTTCTCTTTCCACTGTATAGGTTCCAGAGATTGAACTCAGGCTTGGTTGCAAGCACTTTTCCCCAACAAGCAGCAAACCAGCCCATCAGTCACTTAGTTTTGATTTAGGAAATTGACTCTTTTTCACAAATCCTAACTCCTACTGTTTGTCTTTGTTTGATGTTATCAAGCCAAATGGTTTCTCTTCCTATCTTTTAGATACACAGTCATGCTTAAAGTCTTTCAGTGCACCTCTTAGAAGTGGAGATAATGACCCTTTCCTAGTGTCCTTAAGCTTTTAAAAATTTATGTGTTTAAGCATATTTTATTTGGGATGTTGTATCAGGCAAGAAATGGGGGTGGGGTTTTGGCTAGTTGGCTACCCGTTGTCTCAAATTAAAATTTTGTTAGAACTAATAAAGTAGTGCCAATCTGGACTAAAAGAACTATACACACATGGGGCTGGAGAGATGGCTCAGCAGTTAGGAGCACTGATTGCTCTTGCAGAGGACCCTGGTTCAATTCCCAGCACCCACATGGCAGCTAACAACTGTCTGTAACTCCAGTCCCAGGGTGTCCGACAGCCTCTTCTGATCTCCGCCGGCATTACATGACATGTGTGCACTTACCTATATGCAGGCAGTACACGTATACACATAAAATAATAATAATTTTTTAAAAAGCTTGTAAAAAATAATAAATAAAATTTCAAAAAAAGAACTACACACAAAAAAGACTCAACAAGAAATGTAGTTTAGCTTTAAAGTATGTGGACATAGAAAGTCAATATTAGGAGAATGTGGAAGTCACTGGATAGAAGAAAGAAGCAACTTAGCTTTGTAACTGCTGCTGCTTTTACTGTTTTGAGATATGGTCTGACTTTTTACCCCAGAGAGCCTGAAATTTACTATTCTGCCTCAGTCCCGAGAGTCCTGGGATTTTACTGGCACATACTACCATGCCCAGTTTGGCTTTAGAATCAAGGGAAACCTGTTAAGATTTTTTTAGGTGCCAAAAATTATCTGGATGTAGTAGGTATGGTAATTTGGGAATAGGTAAATGTTTAGAATGAGAAACTGAAAACGTTTTTCCTTTAGACAAAAGCAGACAGTCAACTGCTTGTAGGGGTAGGGTAGAGTTCAAAATTTTTCTCAACCTGTACTTGAGGTGGTAGAGGGTTTCAGAGGGAAAGGGACTCAGATTTGCTTACCACATCATAAATATTACTAGTGAGTCAAATAGAGTAAAGTAGCCTATAAAAGCATATGGTATATTCTTTAAGAATATGTCTGCCTGGAGAACTCATTTTGGAAGTTAGTACGCATAGGGTTGACACTTTAGATAGACAAGATTCTGAAAGACAGAGATGGCAGAAACTTGTGGCGGCTTTTAAATGATTAGAGAAGAAAGAACAGGTGAAGAAGAGCATCTTCATTCTAGGAGAAATGCTAAGCAGAGTATTAACATCTTTTTGCTTTCCTAAAAATAGGAAATGGACCTTCAGGAATATGCCTTTCTTACATGTTATCAGGCTACAGACCATATTTATCACCAGAAGCAATGCATCCAAACACAATCTTACATAGCAAACTAGAGGAAGCAAGACATATCTCCATTGTTGATCAGGTACTGTTTATTACATGTCAGCTTTGAAAACATTAGGATGCCGGAACAAGATGAGTTTTTTAATGTAAGCATTGTTTCTTTGTTGACAGTTCTTCATTCTAAATAACATTTTCTCTTTATTTTAGATACATAAATATATTCTGACAAGGTATAGCTCAGTAGTTTCTTGAATTTATTAGAGCAAAATTCCTAAATTATTTCTAGTGGAGTTTTTTTAAATTTTAATTTGGTATGGGTATATGTGCATCTTCATGTGAATGAGAGAGTGTGTGTGTGTGTGTGTGTGTGTGTGTGTGTGTGTAGACCAGAGGTCAACCTTGGATGTTCTTCAGGAGCTGTCTACTTTGTTTTTTGAGCAGTGAGTGGTCTCTTACTGGCCTGAATCTGCCTAGTCAGGCTAGGCTGACTGGCAATGAGCTCCAGGAATCCACCTGTCTCTATTTCTGCAGTACACAGATTATGAGCAGAGGCCACACGCCCTGCTCTTCTAATGTGGGTTCTAGGGATCAAATACATGTCCTCATGCTTGTGCAGCAAGCACTTTACCCATTGAACCATCTCTCCAGCTCTGTTAGTGAAGTTTTAATATGTTCTCTGTGCTCAAATAAATTTGGGAAGTGCTGCTTTTTATTATTTTGAATACCCTAATTGACATTGTATGCCAAAGATACCTTCAACTTTTGTTTTGTTTTGTTTGAGACCTGGTTTCCCTGTAGCCCCAACTGGCCTGTAACTTGCTATGTAGACCAGGCTAGCCTTGAACTCAGAGATCTGCTGTGCTGTGCTGGGATTAAAGGCATGCTCTACCACACCTGCTTTCATCTTCAATTTTTATAAGAATTTTGTTAGCTTTGTTTAAATCCAAACTTTGCCTGTATTTATATGATCAAAGGATCTATTAAGATCTTAAAGGAAAATTTCTGTTCTCTAACTCACTATCTAAGAAAACCACTGGATTTATATAATAACCATTACTATTAACGTTATAATTGTTTTGGCTTTTTTAAAAAAAAAAAAGCCATATACATATCTTTTTTTTGCCTTTCATTCAGGACTTAGAATACTTGTCTGAGGGCCTTGAGGGCCGATCATCCAATCCAGTTGCAGTACTTTTTGACACACTTCTTCATCCAGATGCTGACTTTGGGTATGATTACCCATCTACCCTGCACTGGAAATTAGAGCAACATCATTATATCCCTCACTTAGTTCTTGGCAAAGGTCCACCTGGTGGAACATGGCATGTAAGTATGTTTTCTTCACATTTTAGTGTACATTGAGGCCATTGTGTTGCCTTAAACCAGCTTGATTCTTAAGCATTATGATAGTACTGTTTACCACATTTTTATTTAAGAATAATTTTGGTGTTTGTTAAGTATATAAAGTAACTGTAGTTAAGCCAGATTTTATTAATGATAGAGTCATGAATAAGCATATCTCTATCCTATCTTGTATAAATTATATAGAAAAAATTTAAGGAATGTTTTTCATTGTAATTTTAAAATCAGTTACATTACAGTTTAGCAGACCTCACAGTATTTGAAAACCAACATCAATTATTTGCATTTATTTTCAAGATTTTTAAATAAAAAATGTTGTAAAAGAAGGGTTTTATTTTGAACAAAAGACATTTCTTTGTTTTGGAGCCTGAAAAGTCCATAATCAAGGTGTGCTGGTGAATTCAGTTTCTGGAAGGACTATCTTCCTGGCTTGAACCCCATTTAGTGACACATAGGCTTTCCTACATCTTTGTCAAATGCCATACTTTTATCCTTGAAAGTCTTTGCTGAAGATGCCCTTCTTACTACAGCTTTCTGAAGTGGAGGCTGTTCATCCTCTCAGTGCTCCATGTCCTGTTAGGTTGGTTAGTGCGGTTAGAGTTCTGTTTGCTTCTTGTTGCTCATAGGTAAAACATCTTGTTCTTTTGAATAGGTCATTTTTCTAGTTTTTCTACCATTCTAGACTGTTTTCATCAGTTACCAAATCTATGGCACCTAACTCATGTTCTTCCATTGTGTTCCCAGCTTTAAATATATATATTTTATTTATTTTTTATTGAAGTTTTGTGCATTTCATACAAAACATCTTCATCATATTTATACCATCTGCACCCTGTTATAGGTACCCCACTGGATTTCATGCATTCTGTTATACATGTTAAGACCTATCAAGTTTGTGTACCCAGACATCTCTCAGTGCAAGCTCATCCACTGGGGTCTAGTCAGCCTATCAAGAGTCTCTCCTTTTTAAAAGATCAACTCTCACTGGGCATGGTGGCTCATGCTTTAATCCCAGCATTTGGGAGGCAGAGGCAGAGGCAGGTGGATCTTTGTGAGTTCAAGGCCAGCGTGGTCTACATTGTGAGTTCCAGGCCAGCTGGAGCTACAGGGAGACCCTGTCTCAAAAAGACCAAAAAACAAAAGATCAGATCAGCTCTCCTTCACCCAGCAGTGATCAGTTGCCAATAGTTCTTCAGCTGAGGTTGAGTCCTGCTGTCCATTTCCCCAGTTCTATGCTGGGGAAATGTCTGAGTGTCCCCAACTTTTTATCAGCTTCAATGACTTCATATACATGATGCAGAACCAATACCTTCATCTCTTAGTCTCTTCATTCCTTTTCTTTTTCATAGCTCCAGCAGCTCAGCTGTGGATATTAGCTTTCAGAGCCACCCAGTTTGTCAGCATCTTTGTTTTTAAGCATCTTACTATGATCACAACTCTCATTCTTGCAGCTGCATTACTGAGTAACTCACATTGTGTTCATGTTCAAGTAGAATATTCCAGGTTCTTATCTTCATCTCTTTACCTGTCCAGTTTAGGGCCTATACTTCACCCATTTGAGCATTTAATTCCTTTGGCCCTGTTGTCCTTATATTAGATGGGATTAACAAAAAAGCAGTTTATCTTACTTGTAAGGGAGTGGTGAGGGGAGCAGTTGGGAAATTACCTCCATCCTCAGTTGGGCACTAAACACTACTTGGTAACCTTTTATATTTTCTAAGTAAGTTTTCAACCTCTGAGATCTCCTTTTTCATTTATATGCATAGAAACGTATTTTACAGAAAAAAAAATGGATTTGATCATGAGGGAGCCTCCACAGTTCATGGTCATGAGCTTATTTGCATTTGTGCTAATTCTTTGGTTCTTGTCTCTTGTCACAATGGTGGAGTTTTCACTTCAGCTGTATTCCTTGCTGTCTTCTCAGGGGCATTGTTTGATTTTCCCCCATCACTTATATCACTGGTTTCTCTGCCTGCTTTTATTGGTCAGTATGTAATACATTAAAATTATTTCCACCTCTGAAAAAAATTGGCCACCAGCTTAGCTGTATTCTTTTAGTGCCACCTTCTTGAAGGGTTACCTGTACTTGCTGTGTGCCTGTACTGCCTCCATGCCTGTGATCCTTAGTCCGTAGCTTACTAGCTTGGTCATTCATTTTCCACAGGAATTGTTCTTTGTATAAGTCAGTAATTGCACTTTTCCTTAATTTGATAAAGTGTCTCAAAATTTTGTGCCCTACAGATTTGACAGTGTTAATATCTAGGTTCTCCATCCTCCTTTAGTCTTGTTTGTCTTCTTACGTGGTTACTTCCTTTCAGTTACCTTTGTTGTCTTTCTCTGTGTCTGTCTCTGTGTTCTCGTTCGTTCTCTCTCTCTCTCTCTCTCTCTCTCTCTCTCTCTGTTCTCCCTCTCTCTTTGTTCTCCCTCTCACTCTCCCTCTCACACACACACACACATTCCATGCTCTAACATGTTTGCTTTAGGGAGTTGTGCCCATAGGACTCTGAAAAGATGGTGAATTCATGGTAACAGTATATTACAGTGAACGAATGAATCAGCATGAGCAGTGGGAAAAGGCCTATGGGACAAAAGTAGCGAGAAGTTAAGTGTATGATGCTAGTAGAGTAACACAGGGATGTACTGAAATTTCCCTGCAGTGTATGAAAATCCCTATGTAGAGTTGCCAAGCACAGAAACTCATTTGTGCTGTCTGTCTATCTGTCTGTTTATCTATCTATCTATCTATCTATCTATCTATCTATCTATCTATCTATCTATCATCTATCTATCTGACCTCAAACTTCTGATCTTCCTACTTTCGCTTCCCAAATGTTGGAATTACAGGAGTGCACACCATACCCAGTTTATGCAGTGCTGAGGTAGAACCCAGAGCTTTGTGTATGCTAGGCAAGCACTGTGCCGACTGAGCTACAGCTACAGACCTCCAAGGATTCTGTGTGTGTGAGCTAGCAGTGTCTGACTGACCCAGTCACTCAAACCTCTCGTCTCAAGAGCACTAGAGCCCACCATAAATCACACTGTTAGGATAAATTTACATAGTCATAGAGGTACAGAATGGCCCAAGCCTCAGGTATGCAAAAAATACGTTCTTCAAATAGAATATTCCAAAGGCTGAATGGTCATCCAAGAGACTGAAAAGACCAACCTTTCTTAGAATGTGAAACTTTAGAGTAACCCAGGCCTGCAGAGTTCATTTCTTACATAGGGTTCAATTTCTTTAAATTCCTCAAAGGACACTTATATTCTTTTTATTATTATTTTATTTATTTTTTGTGTATGAGTGTATTGCATGCATGTATGTGCACCTCCTGTCATACAGTGCCTGTGGAGGTCAAAAGAGGGTGTTGGATTCCCCTGGAACTGGAGTTATGAACAGTTGTTGGCTGCCGCGTGGGTGCTGGGAATTGAACCCTGCTCCTCTGCAAGAGCAATCAGTGCTCCTAACTGCTGAGCCATCTCTGCAGCCCCACTTACGTTCTTTTTTATAATTAGCCTGTCATAATTGGCTTTTATTTTGTCTGTAATATCCTCCCTTTCTAATGGTAGAGTCCTTGAAGCCATTACACTCTTGAAGGTGTAGTATTTTGCATACACTGATACAGTACTTCTGTCACACTTGTCCCTTAAAGACACTGTTACCCAGTGACAGCAGGCATTCATGGCATATGCATTGAAGAGGGAAGTTCAAGGCCAATTGGGTACATGAGACTGGTTTTTAAATTACATAAATAAAGCTGGGCGTGGTGGCACATGCCTTTAACCCAAGCACTCAGGAGGCAGAGGCAGGCAAATCTCTGAGATCAAGGCCAACCTGGTCTGCATAGAAAGTTCCAGGGCAGCTGGGGATACAGGGATACCCTGTCTCAAAAAAAAAAAACCAAATTATATAAATAAATAAATGAAATACATGAAATGAGATCCTATCTCAGAAACTAAATAAATAAATGAATAAATAAAATTATTATATGCCCCATTTCCAGTGCTGGGCTATGTAGAAACAGGACAAGAGTTAATGAGAAAAGAGCCATTGTTATAAAAACTGACTGAAAGAGATCACTGGGCAGTGCCTTGGCACCTTAGCTGTTCTGCTTTGTATTGAGCAAAGAGGTAAGTAGGTCAGAAGACCTGGAAGGCTCACTTCTTTGAAGATAACAGTAACCCTAATGGTGAGTCTGTTTCTTAGGCAACCACCGCTTATTTTTCTATTCTTAGAAAGTAATTATGTTGTATCCAGCATAGTCTGGACTTCAAAATTATAATTGATAGAGGGAGAAAAGCAGTTTTCTAATTTTTAAAAATCTGTAAAAGATTAAAATGGTAAAAAAATTGGAAATTAACAAATTTTCCTTTATTTAAGAAGTAAAACTACTGGCTTTTCTTTAATATGTATCTTAATTATATTCAGCATAGACCAAAGCTAATGTTGAAAATTTGTTTCATAATTGTTTAAACTGTAGGTCATGTCAAATGATGAAAGTGTGTAAAAGTTTAATTGGAATGATGTTTCAGAGGAAATATACAAAACCATTTAGGACTGTTCTGAACATGCTTTATGTGATCTTAGTTTTTACATGAGATGTGTTTGGCTTTACAAAGTGGTATTGCTTCATTGTATGTTTTTAACTGTACTTTTAATATAGAATATGGAAGGCTCTATGTTGACAATCAGCTTTGGAAATTGGATGGAGCTACCCGGACTTAAATTTAAAGACTGGATGTCTAGCAAACGAAGGTAAAGATCAAACTGTATTAGGATTCTTTGATGTATGATGAAAGGGGACTGTGAGACATTTTCACAATATTCATAAATACTGTATTGGATAAATACAAATACATATGCTGTCCTAGTTTGTTTCTCCATTGCTATGACAAAACACTCTGACCGCTACCAACTTGGGGAGGAAAGGGTTTGTCTCACATCTCCCAGGTTACAGTTCATCATTGAGGGAGCCCAAGGTAGAAACTCAGGGCAGGAACCTGGAGGCAGGAGCTGAAGCACAGGCCATGGAAGAACACTGCTTACTGGCTTGCTCCCATGGCCTATGCTCAGCCTGCTTTCTTACACCATACAGGCCCACCTGCCCAGGGGCAGTACTGCCCACAGTAAGCTGGGCCCTCCCACATCACCCAGTAATCAAGAAGATGTCCCACAGACATAGCCACAGGCCAGTCCAATGGAGGCAGTTCACCAACTGAGGCTCCCTGTACCCATGCGTGTCAAGTTGACACTAAAGCTATCCAGCACATAAGCCAAATAAAAATGCTTCTGTTTAGCAGTGCTTATGCACTAGTTCCACTTGGAGATGCTATAAAACTGCAGAGGTAAAGGACTGTTTACAGGTGGGCTTCCTATAACTTTGTTAATAAGATTTATCTTTCATGTTAAAACACTGTTTATCATCTACCTACATATCAGTTTTCATACTTTTGTCAGTTTTTAAATACGTATGTGATTTCATTTATGTATACTCCATATACATATACCTAAAGTATTTGTTTAAGGGTAAAAACTATGTGTATCATGATTGGTCATTAGAATGATAAACTAATGTCTGGTATATGCTTGGCTATTTGGGCATAAAGTTAAATAGTAATTTAAAATGCTTAAGTAAAGCCAGGTGTGATGGTGCATGCCTTTAATCCCAGCACAGCACTCAGGAGGCAGAGGCAGGTGCAGGTGAATGTTTTGAAAATTTAATCTTAAGTTCATGCCCTTAAATATTTTCAAGTGAAGGAAAATTTTTATGGATTAAACATGGAGTATAGAAAAAGGCATGAATCCTCTGGAACTGGAATTCTGGATGGCTGTTAGCTGCCAGGGTCCACTGCAAGAGCAGTCAGTACTCTTAACTGCTGAACCATCTCTTCACCCCCCAGATAACAGATTATTTTTGATCATTAAATATCTTACTTAAAATCAACTAATGAAAAATCATGTCAGTACGGCATGTGTAATAAAGAAGCATGATATTAGTTAGATAATCTCTCATTTTTATTCTTATTTTAAATTATTGTGTGTGTATGTATACATGAGTGCAAGTGCCTACAGAAGCCAGAGGTTTTAGATCCCTCTGTAGCTGGAGGTACAGGCTGTTGCAAGCTACCCAACATGATTGCTAGGAACTGAACATCTACAGAAGTAAACTGGCTTAGCTGTTGAGTCATCTCTCCAGCCCCCTATATAATAATTTGTTAATTATGTAATCTCTAAATAATACAGTTAGCTATAAATTGTAAGCTATAGTGTGACTTTCAAATATGTGTACTTTAATCCTTTTATTAAATGAAAATTCATCAAGCAGCCACCTTTCCCACTTGTCTCCTTTGTTCCCTTAGAGTCTCACTTCTATTTTCTTTAAAAAAAAAAAAAAAATTTATATGTATGAGTTTACTGACTGCATGTGTGTAAGTGTACCCATGTAGTGCAATGCCCGTGGAGGCCAGAAGAGGGGATTAGATCCCCTGGAACAGGAGTTACTGGTAGTTGTTAGCTGCCATGTGGGTGCTGGGAACCAAACCCAGGTTCTCTGCAAGAGCAGCCAGTGCTCTTAACCCCTGAGGCAGCTCTCCAGCCCCTCACTTCTATTTTCATGTCACATATACATACATGATTTTGTGTATCTGTATGAAAGCTAGGAACCACAAATGAGAGCACCCTGTATTTGTCTGGGCCTGGCTTAATTCACTTGGTTTGCATTTGCATCCATTTTTCTGTGGCATGACTATTCAATTGTGTGTATGTACATCTGCCTTATCCTCTGTTGCTGACTACCTAGGTTGGTTCCTTGGCTTAGCTATTTTGCATAGTGATGCGGTAAACACTGATGTGCAAATATCTGTGTGGCATGTGACTTGAAGTCCTTTGGGTAAATACCAAGGCGTAGTATGGCTGGGTCCTATGGAAGGTCTAAATGTTAGTTATTTGAGAAACCTTTGTGCTGATTTTCTTTGTGGCTGGAGTAGTTTGCATTCCCACCAGCAGTGTTCCCTTTTATCCACATCTTTACTAGTATTTGTTTTCTTAATAACTGCCATTCTCACTAGGATAAGAAAAAGCAGACTTTCTTTATAAAATGTGAGGATAATTTTACATTAAGACAATCCTGAAAGAACTAAGATAAGTACTTACTAGATAGAACAGTAATAATCACTAGATAGAACAGTAATAATCATGGAAACAAAACATGCTATCCTCATAGATCTTTTTCCTCTTATAGGAACCTAAAAGGGGACCGGGTTATGCCAGAGGAAGTAGCTCGCTACTATAAACATTATGTAAAAGTCATGGGTCTTCAGAAGAATTTCAGAGAGAATACTTATATAACATCTGTATCAAGACTCTACAGAGATCAAGATGATGATAGTCAAGACAGAGATATTTCAGAAAAGCATTTACAGAATCAGAAGTCAAAATTTATCAAGAGAAACTGGGAAATCAGAGGTTATCAGCAAATAGCAGATGGTTCTCACGTTCCCTTTTGCCTCTTTGCTGAGAATGTAGCTCTTGCAACTGGAACACTGGATTCTCCTGCACATCTGGAAATTGAAGGGGAAGAATTTCCTTTTGTGTTTCATTCAATGCCTGAATTTGGAGCTGCTATAAGCAAAGGAAAGCTGTGCAGCAAGGTGGACCCAGTGCTGATTGTTGGTTCTGGGCTTACTGCAGCTGATGCAGTACTGTGTGCTTACAACAACAACATCCCTGTGATCCATGTATTTCGCAGACGAGTAACTGATCCAGGCTTAATTTTCAAACAGCTTCCCAAAAAGCTTTATCCTGAGTATCATAAAGTCTATCACATGATGTGTACTCAGTCATATTCTGCAGACTCAAACCGTTTATCTGATTATACCAGTTTTCCTGAGCACCGTGTGCTTTCCTTTAAGTCTGACATGAAGTGCATTCTTCAAAGTCTCTCCGGATTGAAGAAGATATTTAAACTGTCCGCAGCAGTAGTATTGATAGGATCTCATCCTAATCTGTCTTTTCTAAAGGAACAAGGGTGTTACCTAGGCCATAACTCAAGCCAGCCAATAACATGTAAGGGAAATCCTGTGGAGATCGATGCATATACCTATGAATGTGTTAAAGAAGCCAACCTTTTTGCTTTAGGCCCTTTGGTTGGAGACAATTTTGTTCGATTCTTAAAGGGAGGGGCATTAGGTGTTACACGATGTTTGTCTACAAGACAGAAGAAAAGGCAGCATTTGTTTGTTGAAAGAGGAGGAGGAGATGGGATAGCTTAAAGCAAGTTTATGAGTGATTTGGACTGTTAACTATTAAAGATTTTTAATAGTGGTTTGCAGTGTACTCGCTTGAATTTTCTGGACTTGAATGAACTAGGAGAGCTCAAGCTATAACTCTGTTTTCTAAAGTTAACAGAGCTTGGTTTCCTGAGTTATAGTAAGATGTATCGAAGGTATCAATGTCAAACAAATAGATAGAAACACTGCCAACTTGCTATTTTTATGCTTTCATTTAAACGGAACACTCTTTTCTAACTTGGCATTTAGAGGAACTGTCCATAAATTCATATTGACTCACCTTACTCCTCAAAAGATAGTCCAAGGGCCAGCAAGATCAGCCTCCTCTGTAGCTCATTAGAAACTTAGGCTCTCAGGTACAAGATACTTGCTTAATCAGAAAATACATTTCTACAGGATCCCCAAGCTATGTGTGGATTCAATAGTTTGAGATGCACTGGTCTACATGAAAATGGGCTATAAAGTACATATGCTGGGGTAGGGCAGGAGGAGGCATTTTTAACTCAGGTTTTATTTATTTTGAAATTATCAGTTCTGTAAACCTAATTTATTACCAAATATGATGGTCTTTTAAAAATATTTTTGTTGTTGAAACTTTGGTAGGGACTTCATATTCTTAACTTCTAATAATTTCAATAATGTTGATATCCAGGAACCCACCAAGATATTTTTAGAGATTTGTTCTCTACTTAGCCATCATAACATCAAATGAATATGATTTTCAGTTCAATAAATTGTGGATGGAACTACTTATCCTTGTGTGAACATTGAGTTAATTTTTATTACTGAAACTAAAATTTTAGTTTTAAGTACTAAAATTAGAATACTGTTTGGGTATTGCCAGAATTACTAAAGGCTAATGTGGAAAATAAGATTGTAGTCTTTTCCATTCCCAAGGTGATTATTACTTTGAGATCTTTAACAGTGTCTGTTCATTAGAGATGACACAGCAGCCCATGGTTATTAGGTTTATCTGCTTGAATAGTCTTGGCTATATTTATTGTGCTTAATGTTTGCATTTCCACATAAATTGTGAAACTTTTTAGTGCCAGACAAAAGTCTTCCAGAGTTCTCCTTGGGAAATTGATTTCTTTTCAGTCTTTTCTCTTGTGTGCTCACTGAACTTCTGTTTTCAGTTTTCTTAAAAAAGTGGACTACCATGTCAGTGTTTTTTGTTTATTGAGGTGTTACGTGCTTTGTCTACCAGGATCATAATTTACCTTCAGTATAATTATTTAATTTGCTTCTAACAACTGATTCAGATCGGGTCTTAATTTGATAAAAAGCTCATTAAGTTTCACTTTTTGTAACTGTGGTCTACTTTTAGCTCATTATTAAGATGGTAACTGTGTTCAGACTGACTGCACAACCTACTGAAATTCTGCGTCTTCTGACTGTACCTGCATCTTCTGACTGTACTTGCTTCCTTGCCTGTTTTTGAACTCTGGGTTGGACTGGATGATTTTCTTAATGTCACTCTAAGTGGAAAATGACAGTATTGTAAAGGTAATTTCTCGGGGAAAAGAGCTGTTGGAGTTCCCTGCTGTCTCAGGAGATTGCTTTACCTTAACCAATAGCATTTTTGTGATGAGCTTATTCATTTTAAAATTCATTTAAACATGTCAGAGAAATCCAGTAAGCCCCTAAATAAACCCATGGAATAACATCATTTCATATAAACCCCAGCTTCCCTGCTGTCTGTCCTTCAGTACTAGCTGTCCTGCAGAGTATCAAATCCAGCCTTAACTGATGTTCCACACTCCTGTCTCTACATTTTATTCATTTCTGTGCCAAAATTTTGACTTTCTTTACACTTAGTATTAGTGAGCTCTTTTAATAAACAATGAAACTGACTATTGTAGCACATGAGCATCTCCTCCCTCCACATCTGGTTGGTATGCTTAATTTCTGCCTTGGGACCCTAAGGGAACACTCTCCTAATATTTTTCTATGAATAAACATGAGAATCTTTTTAAAAAAACATTTTTATTTTATATGTGTATGAGTGTTATACCTGTTATATGTAAGTGCACCTGTGTTGTGCAATGCCTATGGAGGCCAGAAGAGGGTGTTGAATCCCCTGGAACTGGGGTCTATTAGTGAGATAGCTCAAAGGGTAAAGATGCTTGCTATACAAATTTGAATCTGAGTCTGATTCCTGGATTCCATGGTAGGCGAGAACCAACTATTGCAAGTTGTTCTCTGACCTGCACAAGGACACAATGGCATGTACACACATACACATTATTCACACAAATACGTTTTAAAACCTCTAATGTGGTTACAGGACTGCTTGTTACATAAATCCATTCTGATTACATCAGATCTTAAAACTCCATTGTGTTTATTCATAGGGGGAAAAAGACCAATGATCCCAGTTACCCTGAAGAGTGTGTGAAAGAAGAATTAAATATTGCCTTGCTCTTGAATCACCTCTGTATTCAAGATAGTTAAGCAAATTTGTAGAAGCAGCAGGCCAAAAAAGATGACAGATAGATAAGCTGTAAAAAGGAAAAATGACTTAGAAGTTACCATTAAAAAAATAAAAGGTTTTCTGGTTCCAATAAAGTCACAATAATGAATATTGGACTTACTCTTCACTATAGTCAACTGTAAAACTCTTAAAAACCATAAAGCAATGCTTTTACACAGTACACGGCAGCCAGAACTACAGTCATCCCAGCTCTACCAGAGGGTGCTCTGCACTACAAACAGGACTTTGCTGAGCAGGGAGGATAGTGGGGGAAGCAGCACAGAGAAGCCCTGGGAATTAACATTTCCTTAAGTTCAATTCCATTCTAAAGCGCAGGGTGAGAAACATGACAGATCAGCAAGTGTGAGCTAGGGGCCAAATGGAGGCTTTGGATGCATACAGCTCAGGAAGACATCTGAATTCTGGTCAGCCAGTAGAGCCAGATCTTGTTCAGTGCTTGGGGGCATTGAACAAGTTTGCAGCTTCCAAAAGAGCATACCCTAAGAATAGGGCTGCTGTGATCATGCCTAAAATTAAGCCTTGATGGGATCCAGTAGATGGCGCCAGGCTTACTTGCCAACACAGAGCTTTCCCAAAAGACAAAATCCAGACATCACTACCTGCAACATCTGCCATAAAAATAAGCTCAGACAAGAAAATAAGCCACACAAAAGACTGAAAATTGATAGACAAGGCTTGAAATTAATAGATACATTAAGAGCAGACAATTATTTAAAAGATGTAAGTATGCTAAGAAAAAAGGTTCACAATAAGGTGGAAAAACTGAAAATGAAGCATTTTATAGCTGGAAAGTAAATTCCAATCCCAGCACACAGGAGGCAAGAGGCAAGCAGGCAGGCAGGGCTATACAGTGAGACCCTGTCTCAGATCTCAGAAAAGGGAAAGACATTGAACTGCAAGCAGGATAACCACATAGGACAAAGGGCACTGCATCTATGCATGTAATCAAATTTCTGAGAAGAGGCAGTTTTAGAAGCTGACACAGGACAGGTAAAAGTACTACATAAAAGGTTTATCCTGTGTGCTGGATAGCTTTAGTGTCAACTTGATACACCTGGGTTGAGGAGCCTCAACTGGGGAATTGCCTTCATTGGACTGGCCTTTGGCCATGTCCATGGGGCATCATTTGTTGAGTGATGTGGGAGGGCCCAGCCCACTGTGGGTGGTGCCACTCCTAGGAAAGTGGGAAGGTGGGCCAAGCCAGTAAGCAGTGTTCCTCCAGGTTCCTGCCCTGAGTTCCTACCTTGGGCTCCCTGATTGACTGTGAGCTGAGAAATGTAAGATAAACCCTTTCCTCTCCAAGCTGGTAATGGTCAGTGTTTTGTTACAGCAATGAAGAAACAAACTAGGACATCCTGTATACATATGTACATAGTTACTGAGTTTTAGTATATATAAACCAAATTGAATTTTTAAAGGGTTTTCAGTGGAATCTTGCATGTGTAAATGTACTAAAAATAAAGACTAGGACTAAATCTTAAATTGTTCATGGAAAGAGAAACTGATAAATCTTCAAAAACAATGGGAAATTACACAATTCCTGAGTAACAAGTAGACACAGATCTAGGGTTTAGTAGCATCAACTACTGACATTACCTTTATAGAAGTCCTATAGTTCTGTCCTGTAGGACACACAAAACAGTCCCCAGACAGACTTGGCAGTGAAACAAAGTCTTTAAAAACTTGGAGGTTAAAATCTTACCAATTATGACTGAAATTTAACCTAGAAATAAATAGAAATGGAAATATTGTGTCTGTTGGTTAATGGAGAAATATGGGACTTAACACATGAAATAGGGAATCAGGATATAACACAAATATCCAAATCTGTAGTGCATACAGGGAGATTTTACAGTTTTAGGTACTGATATTTTAGATAGGCTTAAAGCTAATAAGCTGCTGGGGCTAGAAAAATAAGCAAATTCCCCAAGTTTAAGGAAAGGAATAATGAAAATCAAAGAAGTAAAGTACAACAAATGGCATGTTTTTCATAGTCTTAATAGACTTGACATAGTTGATAGATCCAGTAAAATGCACACGCTCTGGTGATGAGAGTGGAAAAGAAGATGGCAGTAAATAAAAAGGAAAATTTAACATGATGAAAACTTAGAGGTACAAAGTCCTTGCAAGACATGGGAAATCTGAATAGCTATGATCAGGAATAAGGCATTCACTGTTTGGATGGGTACAGATGATTTACTAAGATGAGAGGAAATGCAGAACAACTGGAAGGGAAGCAAACAGTACTCAGAAATGTCATGTATCTAAAAACTCTAAGGAATCTATGATAAATACTAGAATTGAGAACTTAGCTAGTTCACAGGCTCCAAATTGACATATACAAGCAATGAATCTTTATTTTAAGATGACCTTTTTGAAAGAATGTTTACAATGTCAACATATTAAGTACACTAAGGATCCATTTAAAATATGAAGTCTTATAATGGAACCACAGAACAGCATTGAAAGAAATTCTGGAAAATCTAAATGAATAGATGTGTACATTGAATTTTTTTTTTTTTGTAGCCCCAGCTGGCCTGGAACTCACTATGCACACCAGGCTGGCCTTGAACACAGTTCTCCTATGCTGCCTTCTGCCTCCTGATGCTGGGATTAAAGGTGTGTGCCACCACGCCCGGCTGATTGAATTTTTGAAAATATATATTTTTTATGTGTATGAGTGTTAGGCTTGCATGTATGTAAGTGCACCTGGGTCGTGCAATGCCCAAGGAGGACAGAAGAAGCTGTCAGATCCCCTAGAACTGGAGTTATGGACAGTTGTTAGCTGCCATTTGGGATTTGAACCCAGGTCTTCTACTAGAACAGTGTTCTTAACCACTGAGCCATCTCTCCGGCCCCAGATTGAATATTTTTAAGATAACAGTTTTTATACTGATTTGTGCAAATTTCTAACTAAACTAGCTGGCTGGAGGACTTAGAGTGTGCTTACTATACATGACAGTAATTTATGCAAGTGTAGTCTGAGTGGGAGGGATGGGAAAACAGACAATGCAACAGATCAACCTGTTAGGTTAACTGGCTTTTCATAAAGTTGTCAAGATGAGAAAAAGACACTTCTTCCAATAAGCAGAGTTTATTCTTAAATTCAGTTATTCATAAAGGGAAAAATCTTACCCACACTTCACATACTCAAGTATTTGTGGAAATATTGAAATGTAAACTTTATAGACTGGAATGCTTTTGAGTCTTGGTGTTAAAAATTTTTTTTTGAAGGACCCGCAGGCCTCCCTCCGACCCG